GAACTCAAACGTGAAGGTACGAATCAAATATTACGAATAGAAAAACGGACGAAAAAGGAAAGTAAGAAAGAAGATCGTCAAATGGGAAGATGTGATATTGAATTATTACAAGTTGATAATGAATATTCGGCAGATGCAGTTGAGCTTTTAAACGATGATCAAATGGGAGAATGTGATATTGAATTATTACAACTTAATAATACATATTTAAAGGATACAATTGTGTGTTTAGAAAATGCTAAGAATAAATACTCAATTACGCTATTTGGTCATATTATTGATAAAGCCTTGGTTACGAAACTGCTTATATCATTACTTGGTAGTGCTGGGTCAGCCATTTTTGGATTAATTGTAAAAAAAATATCTTCAGACTTGCACAAATAGCACTTTAATACTATTTTGACTTCATCGCATGATTTTTGTAGCCAATGTATAATTAACAGTTCGGAAAGCAAATGTTTCACATTGACTACATGGAGCAGAGTACCGATAGTGGGATGAACCAGCGCGGTGTTTCTCGGAAGACCAGAAACCGGTTTTTAAGAAACGTTCCATGACAGATGGATTGCGTATAAGCCATAATAGACTAATTCTTGCCTGCAAAGTATCTTATTCGACTCCTCATACACTATGATCTGTAAATCTCGAGCTTCAGGCTTTTCGAATGTTTTCGTTATTGAATCATCAGAAGGTGTTTTCTGAAGACTTAACAGAATTCTTTATTAACTTGTACAAATTAAATGTACATCGTTTGAAAAACGTAATGTTTTCATGTAAATTATTATGAAAATGTTCTAATACATGACTGTGTCGAGATTATTTTTTGTCTTTGTAGAACTAGCAGTCATCTCTAAAATGATCAGAAAAGACTTTGAAAAAAGGGTGACTTCGCCAGCTGAGAAAGGCAAACACTGATGACGTAGTATGACGTTTATTAGAAAAATGATATTTGTTCTTTACAAAACACAAATTGATTCAAAATAAATAGCAGGTTCATAATCTACACATGAAACTGTATTGAATGATGTGCAATTTGACATGTTTCTTAACAAAAGTTATTTTTGAAAAATTTCGGCGAAAGTCTTGATCTCAGAAAAGAAGATTTTCAATTGGAAATATTTTTGTTCGAACTCATCGTATACAACTCTCCGTTCAAAGTGAAGCATATATATCATGTTTTACAGTTCTCTTGTTAGCGAATTTTTACTCTTTCTATTAGATGAGTGATGCTGATCGAGAACAGCACATAATTTAATAAACGGATATACAGTTTAGTCGGGAAAATATCACATCAACTTTCAAGTTCTCACCTTTTAGATCGAAATAAGATAGGTAAACATGTACAGTTCAACCACCCTCACCCCAACATCCACAACTAATTCACCAGGGATAAACATGTTCTGAACCAATGGTGTTTATCATGGCAATTTATTAGCCTTACCAGTAGCGGCGTAGCCAGGATTTTGTTAGTCGGTGGGCGTCGCCCCAAATTTTTCCAAACACGAGAAATTTTCACTTGGTTTTCTGAGAAGTCCATATCAAAATCCTGCTGTAATGCCACACTTCTTCTTCAGCATCAATAGAACACCGCATCACATTTCACCGAATATTCCAACCATGGACGATTGTTGTACCAGTTGTTAGTGAATGATCTATTCTCTTCTCACGGTGGATAAGAAGATAAACGTGGTTGAGTCGGTGAACTATCACCGAAAACACTGACATCATCCGGGATAACGACTGGTTTTGAATTTGTTCCTTGACCATTGTTAGATTTAAGTATTTTCGTAGAAACAGAAGTGCTTCGGGAGCTGGAGTTTTATTTTGGACAACAGTTTCGAAACTAGATTCACATGTTTCACTTAGACGTTTATGTTTTTGAGAGCTAAACATGAGGCGAATATCTATTTGAGTCTTATCTGTCATAATTTTACGATTCTAATCAGTTCCTATGTTTCAAACTTGATTTGAGACAGGCAGGAAAGCAAAATACCTACACTATCAGCACACACATTTAATAATGAAATCTCGTCTTCTGACTGATAATACTATATGCACCCTATGCTACCGTTACAAAAGATTGTTTTTCCTCTAATTCGTGTTTGTGTCCTCAGTACTTATTTGCCGTTCAGTGATTTTTTTTACAAGCTTAATTAGCTACGGTACTTTATTGTCTAAACTTTTTAGTGGTTTTTGATCAAACAGTACAAAATTTGGCTTAGTGACTCTTTTCTTTTATGATGTTTGCTTTCTTACTCTTACAATTTTTAGACAGTCATAATTACGTTTTATCTCGGTAGGCAATGACGGCAGCCTGTTTTTCACTTTTTTCTTCTTCAGCACACGCATCTACTTTAAACAATGGGTTGTTCGATTCACTGAGGTAGTGAAAGAAGAATAGAACAGTGCAGCAAGTTTGCATAACTTCCCAAGCACGAAAAAAGCAGCTAGCATCGCTCGATGCATCTAGATTCACTA